TTATAATTTGTACAATTAACCTCCATGTGGTTCGACCCTGGTCTTGCCGGGTTATTTATTACTTCGACACTCCTGCACTTGGGAGAAGACATCAATCTTTTAGTCGTGTTAATGTGTCATATAGGATCCTTATTTGCACGAATCACAATACAACTAATATTATGGGATAAGATTCTAGAGGCCTAATGAAAGGATACTAAAGTGGAGAAGATGAGACTTAGAGTGAACTCAGAATATTTAACATCTTTTTCAATTTTAGAAATTGGAATCTTGGTGATATGAAGACAAATTTATCTACGGGGTAATAAGGCACTAAAATAAAATTTTTTTAAAAAGACTCATGAATGTAAATGTACAATTCACCCTAACATTAAGATATATAGGAATTTAAAAAAGTATTATTAGTGGCCTAGCATAAAGCAAGAAGTAACAAAGTTTATGGTAAAATACCGTGTTAGTAAGTGAAAATAGAGCATTGGAAACCTATAGAAAAATTACAACCTTTTTTAATTCTAGAATAAAAATGAGAACAGTAATGATGTAATTTGAATGATTGTGGAAAGTGAAAATAGAGCATTGGAAACCTATAAAAAAATTACAACCTTTTTTAATTTTAGAATAAAAATGAGAAGATATTATAATAGATTTTGTATCAAGATTGTATAGAGATAAAAACAATAATGATGTCATTTGAATGATTGTGAATCAGCTAACTAAGTCTATTCTATTCTTATCGATAAAAATAGCTAATTCAATAAATAACATGCCTAGAAGATCTATTAATTTGCACAAATAAGAAAAATAAAATATTAAAACTTAAATTATAATTATTATTGTTTTTTTCTAATATATTAAATCATATCAATTCAGCTTAAATTCAACAATTTAAATCTAACAAACAAAGAATTTCAATATGATTTTTGATACATCGATCAATTACAAAATTATGATATATTTAACTATACCGATACCTCTAATAAAAAACATGACATAAGAGGATAATTCAAATTTTACAATAATTCCTAAAAGGACCGTAATTCAACGACGTAATCTTCAATTATCGAAATGATGATCATGGCCTGAATTACAGTCCAAAGAAAACCATATCAAAAGAAAGATATTTACGTTAAAAAAGAGAGAGAATACAATGGCAAAATAAACAGAACTCTCCTCCGCCTTTTTGAGCTAGAAAAATAAAAGTCGGTTTTATTCTCTCTTTTTTTAGGTCAATTAATTAAATAAATAAGCCCATACTTGATCTTTCCTTCACGGAATATACAAATGAGATATGCATTATTTTGAAGTAACTTTTTTAATTTACTATGAGAGCGTGAACACCTTTTTTTTAAATGATCTCAAAAGCTTTTATCCTTTTGTTGTTGTTATTATTATTATTATTATTATTATTATTATTATTATTATTATTATTATTCAATTCATTCGCCAACTTTGAACGAAATAGAAAACAATAAACTCAGCCGGGCCCATCTCTTGAGCCGACCACTTGACGTAGAATGGGTTAATAAAGGGGGGCATTGAAAAGGGTTAGAAGTTGTTCCTGGGTGTAATGATGCACTCCTATTCTTTCACTACTAGATAGATTGGTGGTAAATTCATGGATTAATCTAACTTTTTTCAATATAAAAAGAGATGTTAAAATGATGAAAGCGTTTTATTAAAAAAATAATAATCAAGATTCGGGTTATTAATTGATTGAGTTAAAATAAGAAATGCAATGACATTAAATAAAATACAAATAAATAAATATAACAAAAAGATAAAAAAAAAAACTCGACCTGAGCTCATTTAAGGAAACAGGTTACATATATAATCTGGTTATGATACTTGAATAACTCTACTGAAAGTAAATTGAATAAAATTATAAAGTTTAATTGTCAACCAATCAAATATTAAAAGAAAAACTAAAAACAATATTTTTTAAAAAACTAACAAAAAACCCCAAGTCAAATCATATTAACTCACTAACACTACGATTACAAACATAAGATTTTGGATAACTCCATAAACAAAAAAGCACGGAGACCAATTTCTAATCAATTAAATGCTAAAAGGATAAAATTAAAATAACAAATTAATTTTTTTTTAAATCAAACATTAAAGGAAAAATATCTGACAACGAAGGAAATAATAAATGAGAATATAATAATCCCATGAAAAATAAAATAGAAAAACATTGAAGCTCGATTTCTAGCAAACAAATTATTGAAGGATGAAGTTAAAGAAGAAAATATAATTCCAAAAAAGATAAAATAAACCCGACTCGATTCCACCCAAATTAGCATGCAAAATCTGTAACTTGGTTGTAATACTAGGTAACCTCGTCAAAAACAAATTAAGTAAACTTTGAGGTTTAATTATTAAATAACTCAATGTTACAAGACAATATAACTCAAATTATTTTCAAAATGAGTAAAAATCCAATAAAAAAAATAACATAGCTCAATCTTCAATTAAATAAATATTGAATGATGAAATTGAAAAAACATAAGCTTATAAAAGGAAAAAAATAATCAAACTTAAATAAATCTCCTAAACCTAGGTTAATCTTCTAAATTCACAACCTATGAAATATTATACTTGACCTCAATCCATGAAATCTTATACTTGACCTCAATCTTAATTTTCAACCAATTTAATGTTGAATGATGAAATCGAGAAAAAAATATCAATTTTAAAAATATACTAAAAAAATAGCAATAAAAAAAAAGAGTACCAAATCTTATAGGGAGAAAAAAAATCAAATGAGGACGAAATCGCAAGAAAATTTTAGTTTTAAAAATTATCTTAGATAAAACAAATAACAATCAAAGAAATAGGGATCAAATGTAATATATGAAAAATTAAAGGATAATGAAATTAAAAAAAATTATAATTTTATAAATTATTTCATTTAAAAAAAATATTAATTAAAAGAATATACACCAAATCTAAAAGAAAAACTACTTGAATGGTTGCTTTAAAATTTGAAGGATTAACACAGAAATTAGGGAAGAGAGAAAGCGGATGAAGAGAAAAAGAAAAGGCCTCTTAAGGCTCTTTGGTCACATGTGTTATTGAATTATGAAGAGGTTATTAAGATTATTTAAAAGTTTTCATGAAAGGTTCACTGAAAAACCCTATAAGAATTGCCTACACACGGACACATCGAACCCATGCGTATAACAATTATTTTAATAATATTTATATATGTTAAATCATTAAATAACTTATAAGTAAACCTGGTTATCACAAAACAAAAAAACATAATGAAAAAAAAGAAAATACCCTTGGATACAAATATAAGATTTTATTTATTTATTTTAAGAGTGGTTTTATTATTTTATTGTGCTCAATATATTAAAAAGACTAAAAAACCTTCATACATTCTTATTTAAAAGAATAAGAATTTAATCTAAAATTATCTTAAAAATATATTTATTTTTATTTTTTTAATCAAATATATTCTAGAATGTTTTTTTTGGTTTATGTTTAGAAATAGTAACCAACCGTGAAGTATTTAAAAATATTTATTAAATTACTTTAAATATGTCATATTATATAAAAATATATTTTAAATTTATTTGAGAAGACACTCGATGAGAAAAAAAAGAAAAAATCCCCCCTCCGGACGAAAGCGAGGACTGATGCAGTGAAAAACAGGGAGTACATGTCCGAAACACAAAACATGATTTGTTGTCTTAATCTCCTTCTAATGTCGGTTTTACCTAAGAAAACATAAAAAGAAACCACTGTTTGTGCGCGACCACGAACGGCCAACTAGCCTCCTCCCTCACTGGACCCCACTTGACCCCATAGACAGAGAAGCTTACAGCTTGGCCTTGCTTTCTTTTCTTTTTTGTTGTATTTATAAGCTTCCATTAACTTGTCTCATTTTCTTTTTTTACAAAAACCAGAAATACACACCAGCCACTGAATAAGTAAAACCAAAAAGCATTATTATTATTGTTATAATATTTCTTTGTTTTGCTAAAAATTCTGCAAAAACTTTCGGTTTGCTTCTTGTTATCGCCTACCTCCTTGTTTCTCTTCTTCAAGATTGATTGTCGTTAAAGCTTTATACTCTAAACAACTACAAGGCGTGCGTGTTCTTCCGATCCGACTCACTGATTACTTCCTCTTCTCCTTCACTCGGTCATTAATTTATTCAATGAGTTAAGAAGATCGCAGTATAGGATCGTCATGGTAGGTTAAAAATAAAATATATTACTCTTGTTTTTGGATTGTTTGATTTCTTAGTTTCCTTTATTTGCCAATTAGTTGAATCAATGGATTGCAAGGGATTTTTTTTCTTTTATGTTTTTTAATAATTCTAATTTGTGAGACACATGAATGGAGTGCGATTTGTGTGTTGAGTTCTTCGAAACGTCTTTTTTTCTTTTTTGAATTTTTATGGCCGAGCAAGAATGGATTATGGTTCGATTTAAGCTTGTTTAAATGAGACGCATTGCTAGATGATATGCTAATCCAAGAATTAATAGATTTTCTCTTCTTTTCATTTTTGTTTTGTTGAGGGGGGCACATGAAGCGTAGGTGGTAGTCAGGCATGGTTTGTTTCCTAAAAATAAATATGGGGCTTTTGTAAAATATGATTCTTGGAGACATGGTTTGTTTCCTAAAAATATGGAGAAATAATGGAAGATTATTTGCATTTCCTAAATATATGGATTAACAGCTCGAAATAATATAGTTTGTTCACCGTGCAGGGTTCAAAACAAGCCTATATCTTCTGATCTTGTGATTATCAGTTAATCAATAATTCTTACTGCATAGCTTGAAATGTGGGAAGTTTTTCTTTTGGGGGAGCGGGTTATTATATTGTCAACTGTAGATTTGACTTCACATGCAACTCTTGGCAATGGTAGAAATGCAGTTAAAACAGCATGGCCATCTCTGTGGCAATGCTGGTCTATAACTGAAATTTGGAAATTGTTGCTATCCGCTTTTTTCCATTTCTCTTCCCATCATAGGTTGGTTAGTTCATAGTGGAAAAGTAGTTCCTTTATTTCTTTAGTTGATGTCTTGCATGCTCGATCTGCCACAAACATCAATTAACATAGCCAGCGAGGGCTTCTTTTTTTTTTTTTTGTCTCTAATCAACTCTAGATATAATTATTATCTTTTTAGATATCTACGATGTAAATATCATGCTATGCATTGCTGTGTATGCCTAATGTGATCGTGTTTGCAGGCTACAACAGATAACATTATAGTAGGTTCTCATGTATGGGTTGAAGACCCTGTTTTGGCATGGATTGATGGAGAAGTTCTCAGGATCAACGGTGAACAAGTTCATGTTCAAGCCACTAATGGGAAAACAGTGAGTTCATACTAGCTTGTGTGTCATGTCTATATGAAGTATGGAGTAATGCAAATGATATCTCCTGAGAGACCCAACAACTCTGTGATTGACATTTATTCTGTATATAGAATCTGCAATCCCACATAATCAATTCAGTAGTTTATAGACGTAAAAATTCTTAGCAATTAGTAAACTTTAGAGCTGATGTGCCACTTCAATTTTAATATTGGTTGAGATCTTGCTTCATTTTGTCATTGTCTCACGGAATTCCCTTGTACCCTTTTCCCTCTTAATGTCTCTTTCTAATTACAGTCCTATGATTCCCAAATTACTGGAAAACTAATTGCAGGTTGTTGCACATATCTCCAAAGTATTTCCAAAGGATACCGAAGCTCCTCCTGGAGGTGTAGATGACATGACAAAGCTGTCATACTTGCATGAACCGGGAGTTCTGCATAACTTGGCTGCAAGATATGAACTTAATGAAATATATGTAAGACACATTCTGAAATTCTCTTTCTAACTTAGGTATAGAAGTAAGCATTGAATTGGGAAGTTGCTGGGAAAACGGACCCAGATTTTATCCAATCTGCTCAATAAATGTCCTCTCATATGTTCTGCAGACATACACTGGAAATATACTGATTGCAATAAATCCATTCCAAAGATTACCGCATCTGTATGATATGCACATGATGGAACAATATAAAGGTGCTGCATTTGGAGAGCTAAGCCCTCATGTTTTTGCAGTTGCTGATGTTGCATACAGGTAACTTCCATTTATTCTATCCGACCTCACATTTTCCTTGCATTTTTTCTTAATTCTATGCTTTTATCATAGGCAAATGATCAACGAGGGAAAGAGTAACTCGATTCTAGTTAGTGGAGAAAGTGGTGCTGGTAAGACTGAGACAACAAAGATGCTTATGCGGTATCTTGCATACATGGGTGGTCGTTCAGGCGTGGAAGGGCGAACTGTTGAACAACAAGTGCTAGAAGTAAGATGAAGGGCTTCTATTTCTGTGACTATGTTTTAAATCCCTTGACTTTCACCATGTAGCACGTGTTCCCTAACATGGTGTTTCTGTTTCATTGAAAATTTTCAGTCTAATCCAGTTCTTGAAGCATTTGGTAATGCCAAAACTGTTAGGAACAACAACTCCAGGTGAGTACTTGTTCAATATTTGGGTAATTAAATAAAATAGTGATTTTTTATGTGATCTTCTCTGGAGACGTTGAATTATAAAAGAGCATCGACTCAAAGATTAATGAAGAATAAGTTGAAATAATTATGAATTTAGCACCTTGTTCCTTTTTCCTGAAGCAATGCTGGAAAATATAAATTTGATAGAAAAGTGATTATTTGAATGATTGTAGACTATAAATATGATCAGTGGCATCACCTTTCCTTGTTTTAGAACACACTGTTCTTCTGATTTAAATGAATCAATGGTCCTTTTATGGTCATGCTGACTAATGTTCTTCTTCATTTCTAAACTCCTTCAGTTGAACTTCTTTTTTGTTCTGATTTAAATGTGTTTTTGAATATATGAAAAATATTGTTCAGAGTGTTTTGTGCATAAGTTAGTCAAGGGAATTGGTTGATATTTTCTAAATATCTTGGTATCACAATGCAGTCGATTTGGTAAATTTGTTGAGATTCAATTTGACAAGAATGGGAGGATATCAGGAGCAGCTATACGTACTTATCTACTTGAAAGATCTCGTGTTTGCCAAGTTTCTGAACCTGAAAGAAACTATCATTGTTTTTACCTTCTGTGTGCTGCACCGCTGGAGGTACTCATGCTTTATGCTTGTTTTGAAATGAGTGCAAATGCTTAGTACTTCCTGTGCTTGTACTTTCAAGTGCTTATTGATTGTTTTCCCTGTGAATTTTCAGGAAAGAGAGAGGTATAAGTTGGAAGACCCGAAATCATTCCATTACCTGAATCAGACCAACTGCTATAAGTTAGATGGAGTAAATGATGCTGAGGAATATCTTGCAACCAGAAGGGCAATGGATATAGTTGGCATTAGTGAGGAAGAGCAGGTCAGTGTTTGCGTTAGCTTAAAAAATGATGTGCTCTTGCTCATTTCACACATTTTATACACCATCTCTGCCAGGAGGCGATTTTTAGGGTTGTAGCTGCCATTCTGCATCTTGGAAACATTGAATTTGCAAAAGGAGAGGAAATAGACTCATCTGTTATCAAGGACCAGAAATCTAGGTTCCATCTCAACATGACAGCAGAACTACTGAAGTACAACTTATTTATTCCCTTTATGTGTTCTGGTTCATTTTGTGATCTTTATTACATATGCTGGTTTTGCAGCATAAACATCGAGTAATTTATGGTGTGATGTAGGTGTGATGCCAAGAGCTTGGAAGATGCATTGATACAGCGTGTGATGGTAACACCTGAAGAGGTTATTACAAGAACTCTCGATCCTCTTGCTGCGGTTCTTAGCAGGGATGCCTTAGCTAAAACCATTTATTCCCGCTTATTTGATTGGTAAAGGGTCTAACTTCACAATGCTGTGTGTGTGTATGTGGAGTTGCAGCTTGTAATTTTTATCATCATGAAGAATAAAATAAGGAGAACTAAAATATTTTTGTCCACTATACGGGTGCTTGTTCTCAACCACATTTGCAAATATTTCAGATTTTAGCAACTTACTTATTTTGCTGCAGGCTTGTGGATAAAATTAACAATTCTATTGGGCAAGATCCAAACTCAAAATCGTTGATTGGAGTTCTTGATATATATGGTTTTGAAAGTTTTAAGTTCAATAGGTAAGCCTTTGATTTTCAAATATCATTTGCTATACTGTAGTCTTTTTCCGTACAGCTACAGCTGACTGTTTGTCATATTATGTAGTTTTGAGCAGTTCTGTATCAACTTTACAAATGAAAAACTTCAACAGCATTTCAATCAGGTTTAGAATTTTGTTGACATAATCCTCGGTCACTCATTTGCATTATATACCTTGCTGTGTTTTAATATATGATGATTGTCAACTTCTTATTATTTGCAGCATGTATTTAAAATGGAACAAGAAGAATATACAAAAGAAGAAATCAACTGGAGCTACATAGAATTTGTTGATAACCAAGATGTGTTGGATCTGATTGAGAAGGTCTTTTACTTTTGCTTGACATTGTGTTTCATTTCTATAATTTCATTTGTTTGAATGATATTATGCTTGACAGACACTGAATAATCCGTGGATCTGTGTCCTATTGCAATATATTTTTTCATCCATTTATGCCTTGTCCCATTCTCTATTTTATCTCTCATAGTGTTTACTGTCTTGTACAATTGTTTGCAGAAACCTGGGGGTATCATAGCACTTCTTGATGAAGCCTGGTATGTAGCTAGTATTTGATTCTATGATTTGAAAAAAAAATTGCTTGGCTGGAGACTCATGTACTTGTAATTGCTTCTTACAGCATGTTTCCTAAATCTACACATGAAACATTTGCTCAGAAATTGTACCAGACATTTAAAAACAACAAGCGCTTCATCAAGCCTAAGCTTTCTCGTACTAGCTTTACCATATCTCACTATGCAGGGGAGGTAAAAACAGTTTGTCGTTATATTTTTTGTTCAATTTTCTTAAACTTCAATCGATTCTGAAATACTTATTTCCTTATCTCCTTCCAGGTGACGTATTTGGCTGACCAGTTCCTAGACAAAAACAAAGATTATGTAGTGGCAGAACATCAGGATCTTTTGACAGCTTCCAAATGCCCTTTTGCAGCTGGCCTATTTCCTCCACTTCCAGAGGAATCTTCGAAGTCATCTAAATTTTCTTCCATTGGGTCACGTTTTAAGGTATGAGATGATTTATTTTCTTCTCAGTTTTCCTAGATTGAATGAAGTGACTTGTTGTAATCGATGGACTTATTTTCTGAAAATAAGAGCCCAATGGTGGCACCTACTTGTTGATTATGGAACAAATTTATGATCAATGGCAATGCATCAGTGATAAAATAACCATATCAACTTGACATGCTGCAACTAAAAGTTAATAGAGAAATAACCACTTTGTGAAATCCTCAATAATGTAGCATGTCAATCATTTTGAGGAACACTAAAGTACTGCTAGATAGATGTGCACCAAACCTGAAGTATGATGATGCTCTTTGTCTCACCATGGCTGTAAGATTCATTATTAATGCATTTAAATTGCATGCTTGCTAGTTTTTAATAAATCTAGTGCTGTTATACTTTCACTCAATTTTTTTAGATATAATATGTTTTAAACACTGCAGCTACAACTCCAATCTTTGATGGAGACCTTGAATTCTACAGAGCCTCACTATATCAGATGTGTGAAGCCAAACAATTTACTAAAGCCTGCAATATTTGAGAATGCTAATATTATCCAGCAACTACGCTGTGGTGTAAGTATAATCAGGCTATATATTTTATGTAATTCTTTTTTTGACGTGTTTCATTTATTTTTTCAAATGAACAAGTTTAACCATTATGTGCTGCAATACTAACCTTCAAAGTAATTGTGAAATTTATTTTTCATTTAGGGTGTTCTTGAGGCAATTAGGATTAGCTGTGCTGGGTATCCTACAAGGCGGACATTTTATGAGTTTCTTCTCCGTTTTGGCGTTCTTGCTCCAGAAGTTTTGGAAGGAAAGTAAGTCATAATTTGAAGTAACAAAAAAAAATAAAAATTCTTCACACCCCTTGCTTTAGCACTTCCTTTTCCTTCCATGCAGTTCATTATTTTTCTGTGTTTCCTGTTGTATTTTCCCTATACAGCCATGATGACAAGGTTGCTTGCCAAATGATTTTGGATAAAATGGGATTGAAGGGTTATCAGGTAATGATATTATCTCTTTTAACTCATCATCCTAGAATCTTTCTGCAGCTGGGATATAATTTGCCATACCTATCCTGGGCATTGTGTAAGGCCATTTGCCTGTGCTGCTACTCTCTTTGCCAAATAACTGGAGCTTCTGTGTGAGGACTGATTGGCATAGAAGGGTTGGGGGGGAGGGGCAGGTTACTGAGCTTCAGTTTTTCATTGAGCGCCAAAGCTTACAACGGTGTTCAGTTGAAATTTTAGGTGGCCTATGCAAAATAGGATTGCAATTAGTATCTAGGTTATGTTAGGTGTTCCAGGGAGAGATTACCAGGAAGTGATTGCTGATTACCATCACATGTGTACATGTCCTGTCATTAACAGATTATGGGATAGGCAGTGTAAGATGCCCAGATGAAATGTCCCATTCTCATCAGCATGGGATTTAGGACTTTCACTGGAATTTCTGAATCCTTAAAAATGATAACTACTGTAAAATACTTACAATCTGCACGTGTATGTTTGGAAACCTGTTAGTAGAAGTCCCCAAATTCTTGTTTATGTTATGTTTCTTGGTATTTCCTGGATGCTGTCAATCTGAACATTGTCTGTCTATATTCCATCTTGCCAGTGGAATTTACAAGTTATCTTACCTTGTTCAACATGACTGGTTTTGCAGATAGGCAAGACAAAAGTCTTTCTCAGAGCAGGTCAGATGGCTGAACTGGATGCAAGAAGAACTGAGGTACTTGGAAACGCAGCTAGAACCATACAAAGGCAAATCCGCACGTATATTGCACGTAAAGAGTTCATTTCATTGCGTCGGGCTGCCTTCCATTTACAATCTCATTGCCGAGGTATCCTCTTAACTTCCTTTGAAACCAAACTTGTTTTAACTGGCTTCTGATATTATTTACTATGTTCATTTGTTGTACATTAAGTAGTGACAACATGGTCCAGTGACAGACTGTAGACACATGTACCCAGGTTCATTCATGTTTGAATTTGGATTAAAATCACCAGATGTCCCTGTACCATATGATTTGGTCAAATTAGCCCATCTTTATAAAAAAAAGGCTATAACTGACCCTTCTACTTCATGAATTGGAGCATTTTAGACTTAGTGATGTCAATTGACCAGTTGCTGGTGTGCATGTGTTTCTTTTTATTTTTTGCAAGTTTTATTGCATCTGTACAGAAACAGTTGTGTGCACATGCACATATAAGACAGGTGAGTTATGAAATCACATAAAATCATCCACGATGCATTAAGTTTAAATGGTTCGTGAGTAAATATTTTTCTATCCAGTCACCGTAAATGTATTGTTTATAAGGTTAATTTTTACACATGGTATATTGGTTGCCATGACTGCACATCTTCAATTTCCACCGCTGTTTTTAGCCACAAAAATCCTGATGAAGCTACACCCTTGTTTTTTGCCATTAATATTAGGTGTATTGGCCCGCAAGCTATATGAAGGGCTGCGGCAAGAAGCAGCAGCATTAAAAATTCAGAAGAATTTCAGGCGATACACTGCCAGGAAAGCCTACTTGACTCTATGTTTGTCAGCGATCTCTTTGCAGACAGGCTTAAGGGCAATGACTGCTCGCAATGAATTCCGATTCAGAAAGCAAACTAAAGCTGCGATTATTATCCAGGTCCCATCCTCAGACCTCTTGCAATCACATTCTCCTATAGTAGATAAACACAGCTCTTCAACTCTTAAAGAATGCTGGTCATAAATTTCTGTTATTATACTTGGAATCAAGTTGACTTTTATTCTTTTTAATTTGAAACTGAGTTTACTACTTTGATTGATTTTCTTGGTGTCTATCAGGCGAAATTGCGTCGCCACATAGCATATTCTTATTACAAGAGACTTCAAAAGGCTGCATTAGTTTCTCAATGTGGTTGGAGGCAAAGGGTTGCTCGTAGAGAGCTTAGGAAGCTCAAAATGGTTAAATCAAATTCCTTATTTTTTTTTAATTACTTTTAAGGTGACTAGTGTTATTTTAGAGGGAAAGATTTAGATAATACTAATTAATGTAAGTTTTCAGGCTGCAAAGGAAACAGGGGCCCTTAAAGAAGCAAAGGACAAATTAGAAAAGCGTGTAGAAGAATTAACATGGCGATTGCAGTTAGAGAAGAGATTGAGGGTACTGTAATTTCTTTGATATCAGTGCTGGCAATACAAACTGCACTGGGCACAATTTCATCTGGTGTTCATTTGAATTGCAGACTGATCTGGAAGAGGAAAAGGCACAAGAAATTGCCAAGTTACAAGATGCTTTGCGTGAGATGCAAATCCAAGTTGAAGCAGCAAATGCCAGAGTAATCAAAGAACGAGAGGAAGCTCGGAAAGCAATTGAAGAAGCACCTCCAGTTATTAAGGAGACCCCTGTAATAGTTCAAGACACAGAAAAGGTTGAATCATTAACAGCTGAGGTAGAAAGTTTGAAGGTAAGCACTTTAATATGGATGATCATGGTAGCTTTTTCCCCAAGATATACATATACATATACATATACATATATACATATATATATCTTCTCTTATCATTTGCATGCATCATGCATCTTATAAGAAGACTATCAGGTGGTTATTCTCTTTACTACTGGCAATGATGAGAACTTCTACCTATTACATGACTGATGACTGCAAAGTGAACTTCAAAAACCATGTGTTATTGTAGAAATCCCTCCCTTGAAACTAATTAATCATTTTAGTTTGTTGCTTGAAATGCCCCTGCATGTATATGTTTCCTGGGATCTTTTTGTGGATTTTTTTGGAGTTTGTGCATCTTCCCATGCAGTATGTTTGCATGTGTTGCCAGCTCTTCACTGTTATGTAGATCAACCTTGACCTGCAAGAAACTGCAGGCTGGCACATGCTAATAGGACTACCTAATTTTTCTTAAACGCCTTGCTTGTTATATTTTTAACATTTTGAAATAGTGAGACTTTAGACTTATCCATCCCTGTTACCAACTTTTCTGATAAAATTTGCATGTGTTCACTGAATTTAACAAAGCACATGGGTTTGACTGTGTTCGAAAATTGACAGATGAACCTGTTATGGGTGGATATTTTTACTTTTTATGTTAAAACAATTTTTAAGACATTAATGATAGCTAGAACATTGCTTTTGTTGATGCTATTGGGACCTGAATAAATTTCTGCAACTGTTCAGGCTTTGCTGCTCTCAGAAAGACAGGCAGCAGAAGAGGCAAGGAAAGCTCATGCGGATGGTGAGGCTAGAAACTCAGAATTGGCTAAGAAACTAGAAGATGCAGCGAAAAAAAAGGATCAGCTTCAGGAATCAGTCCAGAGGTTTGTGAATGCATCATGGACTGGAACTGTTTGGATATTAGTACTTATGCCATATGATAGAATTGTATGGATGCCATTGATGATCAGCTTATCCCTGATTATATTAATGCAATCCTTCCCTTTTCTTGTCTGCCTACTTGACATCAGCCTTCATAACTTTACCTTTGTAATGCAATACTTGTGCTTGCAAGTGGGTACTTTTCTCATAGCTTATAGTCATCCATTTGATTTTACCTGTGTCCGCGCTTTGCATGCACACACGTTCCCCCCTCCTATCCCTCTCTCTAGATTATTTTTTTGCTTCATACATTAAAGGTTCATTTATATTGCAGGCTGGAGGAGAAACTTTCCAACTCAGAGTCAGAGAATCAAGTGCTTCGTCAACAGGCACTGACTATGTCACCAACAGGGAAATCTTTGTCTGCACGACCAAAATCAATGATTATCCAGGTGGAAATGGAATTTTCATCTGTTCTTTGTCATAGCATTGTGATCTAAAGGGTTCTAGAATTTCATGTTATTTATTAAATTGCAGAGGACTCCTGTGAATGGGAATGTTGCAAATGGAGAGGTGAAGGTGGCATCGGTGAGGGGAATTATTTTTTTTGATAGATCAGCTACTGTAATGTATTCAGATTAAGGCTTTGTTTCTAAATTCTTTCCCTGTGGACTAAATATCTCAGGACATAATTCTTGCTGCATCAAATGCTCGTGAACCAGAATCGGAGGAAAAACCACAGAAATATCTCAATGAAAAGCAGCAGGTAAGTGGCTTTTGGCAAGTAAAGCACTCATTGTATTGATTTCTACTGTAGTAAACAACATTAATGAGAGATGGTAAAATGCATTTTTTTGTTCCATTGAGGACCAAGGGTCGTAATCTTTGATACCTCTAAGATCTTAACCTCTTGCTAATTCTTTTCTTGCAATCTGCATTTTTGATTCAGGAGAACCAGGACCTGCTGATCAAATGTGTATCACAGAACTTGGGATTCTCCGGGGGGAAACCAGTTGCAGCCTGTGTCATATACAAATGTCTTCTTCACTGGAGGTCATTTGAAGTTGAAAGGACAACTGTTTTTGATCGTATCATTCAGACAATAGCTTCTTCCATTGAGGTAAAGTATCATCTTTTGGGTGCTCAAATATCAGATTGCCCTTTCTTTTATACAAAATCACAATATATTGCCTTCTGATATTGCTTTCACCTCAAACTAGTTGTAAACTGACTAGATAGGACTGATGTTGGCTACCTGTTTATCTTATCGAAGGTCCCTGATAACAATGATGTCTTAGCCTACTGGTTATCTAATTCATCCACATTGCTGCTGCTGCTGCAACACACACTCAAAGCAAGTGGTGCTGCTAGCTTGACACCACAAAGACGGAGAACATCATCTGCTTCTCTCTTTGGGAGAATGTCTCAAGTAAATTCGTGTTTTCTAGAAGGGTCTTGCATCTTCTTGTCATTTTTTTTCTTTTTTCTAATCGTTCATGTTATTCAGGGGCTAAGGGCATCTCCTCAGAGTTCTGGACTTTCATTTCTTAACAGTCGGGGGCATAGTAGACTGGATGACTTGCGACAGGTTGAGGCTAAGTATCCAGCATTACTTTTCAAGCAGCAACTTACAGCCTTCCTTGAGAAGATATATGGAATGATACGAGACAATCTGAAGAAAGAAATCTCCCCATTGCTTGGGCTATGCATTCAGGTTGTTTCTAAGCTACTTCAGTAAGCATGATTCAATATCTACTACTCTTGGTAGCTTTTTAAAAAATTAAGCTTTTTCCACATGCCCTGGGATGTAGTCAGGGAGTGCCCACATCTTGAAAGAGTGGATGACTGACCAAAGCAGGCAACCTGTGTTTGTGTGTTTGTGAAATTTTTTTGGGTACAATGTGCTTATGCAAGTTAAATATATTTCAAACATTGTACAGGCACCAAGGACTTCCAGGGCAAGTTTAGTTAAAGGTCGCTCTCAAGCTAATGCTGTTGCTCAGCAAGCTTTAATTGCTCATTGGCAAAGCATTGTCAAAAGCTTAAATAGCTACTTGAAGACAATGAAAGCAAACAATGTGAGTTACAATTCTATAGAGGATGTAATAACAACTACTGTTTTCTTGGAAAAGTATCATTCACATTGATAATCTGTTTTTCAGGTACCTCCCTTCTTAGTGCGTAAAGTGTTCACTCAAATATTCTCTTTCATCAATGTTCAGTTGTTCAACAGGTAAATACATTCAAAACTCACCCTCTTTTCCCATGAAAATTATGTAATGCCTTGCTTCATGTGCACCTGCAGTCTTCTTTTACGGCGCGAGTGTTGCTCATTCAGTAATGGAGAATATGTAAAAGCTGGTTTGGCTGAATTAGAACAGTGGTGCTATGAGGCAACTGAGGAAGTGAGCAGTCATAATTTTTTCAGCTGTTGATTCCTTGCAGTGCTATGTTATTTGTTTATCTAGTATCTTTTTATTTACAGTTTGCAGGCTCAGCTTGGGATGAATTAAAGCATATAAGACAGGCTGTTGGATTCCTAGTAAGAGACTGGATTTTTAGATCTTTCTCATTAAGGAGTATTGCCTGGTTTACTGACCATCATCCTTCAATATCACTACTCAGGTCATACATCAAAAGCCCAAAAAGACCTTGAATGAAATAACAAAAGAGCTTTGCCCGGTCAGTGCCTCTTCTCTTTATGATCTTTTCTTTTTCTATACTGGATCTTATTCTCACATCTTTTTTTTATAGTAATCAAAAATATTTTTTGATGTCTGCATTTCAGGTGCTAAGCATACAGCAGCTGTACCGGATCAGTACCATGTACTGGGATGATAAATATGGCACCCATAGCGTGTCTTCAGATGTAAGTTGCTCTAAAGTTGGCAAGAATGCTTTGCTTTTTTGTTGTCAATTGAAAATGAATTAAACTGGTTTATTTTCTTTCTTGTTTTTGTTGTACACTCCTGTGAGAGATACACACTATTTTCGTGCTAAAACTATAGCTATGCAGGTTATATCTAGTATGAGAGTTATGATGACAGAGGATTCGAACAACGCTGTTAGCAGTTCTTTTCTTTTGGACGATGATTCAAGGTAGAATTTTAATTTCTCTTACATGCAACAGCAACATATTTGTTTTTTGAACTTAAACAGGCATGGCCTGCGATCCTTCTCTCCGTAGTTACAGTTTAATTGTCATGCAGCATCCCATTTTCTGTGGATGACATCTCCAAGTCAATGCAACAAGTAGACATAGCTGACATTGATCCTCCTTCATTAATTCGTGAAAACTCTGGTTTCGGGTTCTTACTTCCACGCTCTGAGTGATGTTCTTTGTGGGGCGTCAGGGGGAGTTGCAGCACAATGATGTGCCAAGACCTGTGCATAAACTCATCATGCCAAGACCTGTGCATATAGTTTCACTATCCGTCATCATCCATGTGTATAATAAATATATTTTGCGTTAGTATCAGGGGACCATGTTTGATGCCTGAGTCGATTCATTTTTTTCCCCTTGTGTTACAGAAACACAAGGGAGTTTTGTTAAGAAGCCATGTCACATGTGAAGTGTGATAATGTGCAGATTATAGAAAGAGGCAACGGTGCCTCGTCATTTCTGAGGCCTGCAACAGGTCTCCATTTTTTCATTACTTCTTTATACTTTTTTTTCCCCTTCAGTGAGGCTTCCTTCATTATTGTTATTTGTTGGGTTTTGTTTGTGTAACTGACTGACATCAGCTGCATTTTATAGGCCATTGTACGAGGAAACAATTTGTATGTAAGTTGTTGTGTTCTTTTTTTGATTTTATTTTGTTTCACAAATTGCTATCTTACCTGTTGTGCTAAACAGGGTCAGCAAATTTTTTTGCTTTGGTTTTTGGGCCATGACGAAAACTTCTGCCTATGAGATCTATTTTTGTGCCTGCCTCTGTTTTAAAGAACTTTGCTGGAATAGCAACTTAACATGGCCAAACAAAATTGAAGGATCGGAGAAATTTTGGAGGAATGGGAAGATAAAAATGAATGAAAATTTTCATTACTATTTATTTTAAAAAAATTAATAAAAAAAACTGTAAAATTGTAAAGAAGAAAAACAAGAAATTGGGCTACACCAAGCTACCATGAAAGCACCTAGCTTGTTAAACTAATTGAATAAGAGATCAAAATTACAAAATATATTAATGGTTAGGTAAAAGGGAAAATCACTGTAGCAATTTATAATATCAGGATTTTGTTTTTGTCCTCAATTTTATTTTAATTGTAGTTTCCTATATTGAAATTTATGACCGTTTCTTAATATTTATTAAGATAACAAAAAATTCAACAAGAGAGAATTAAGTTGTAAGACAAGGAGAAAACTCATGATTAACATCAAATTCGCTAAAAAAAAATTTTGTTTACTTAACCTTCTTTCATTTTTCTTCTTTAGTCTTTAGTTTTCTTAATTTTAGTTCTGATTTTAAATTTTTTTTTTAATATTCTAGTCTTTAAATTCATGGAAAAAGCTAGTTGCTTGAAAAGTATAAAGAAGAGTTTTTGGTTTAGCCACAATCTAGTAGAAAATAAAAGGTTGATTTGAGTGTCTACGAGTTTTATTTAATGAGGGAATCTTATTAGTTGTTTTTAAACATTCATTTCGCTTGAGAAAGTAAGTTAGAGTTGAGAGATATTTTTTTTTCCGGTTTGATTGTGTTTTTAAATCATTTTATTTTGCGTGTTTTGAATTAATAAACTAATTTTTTTGAGGTTTTAAGGGTGTTTATTAAATGAAAATTTATTTTAAATGAATTTTTAGATCAAAATCCCACAATGATTTTTTAATAACTATTGTGGTGATCGAATTTTTTATAAGCAGACCACACATTATCGATTCAATTTAAAAAAGATTCAATTTAAAAGAAATAAAAGGGAATAGGCAGAGACTTGGGTTGGAAAGCCCACATACCCGAGCTATGTTTTAAAGATCCATGTGTTAGGCCATTTAAGTTAATGTGCTTTAAAGATCCATGTGTTAGGCCATTTAAGTCAGTGTGCTTGACTTATTTGTTTTTTTTTTTAATTTTATCCTTCAACATGAATTTAATAGATTTATTTATTGTTTTTTTTTCCATTTATATCCTTCAATATTTGGTGTTTTTTAATTGATTTTCATAATTTGTTTTAAATTGCTTTTTATTGGGTTATCATGATCTCAAACAAATATCTCAATATTTAATTGATGATTAATTTTATGAGTATTTATTTTTATTATCATATAATTAAATATGTTTTTAAAAATAAATTTATTAAATCAAAGGAAGTCTATGACTTAGATTATAGGTTTAATAGGTTGATTTGAGTTGATTAAGAATTGAGCTTCATAATTTATAACAAATATCTTAGCATTGAATTGGTGTTCAATTTTACAAGTTTTTATTTATTATCATACAATTAAATAAAAATTATACTTTTATAAAAAAAGTTATTAAACCTAGTGAAATATGTGATCCAAGTCGCAGGTTTGGTGGATTATTATTTTTTTATCCTTTGATTTTTTTTATTTTCATCATTCACTGTTAGATTTTTATTTACTTTTTTTTATATATATATAAAAAATATTCTTTAATATTTGGTTGATTTTAAAATTTTCTTCATAATTTGTTTTGATTTGTTTTATATGAAATTAGCATGTTCTCAAATAAACATTCTGATATTTTGTCGGTGTTCAATTTTATGAACATTTATTTGTGTTGTTGTATAATTAAATAACAAATAGTTTTAAGAAAAAATAAAGTTATTAAACCCAATAAAATTCATGACCTAGATTGTAGTTTCAACATTTTGACTTGAGTTGGTTGAAAATTGAGTTTTATAATTTTTTTAATTTTTTTTATAAGATTATCATGATTTTAAACAAAGATTCTGATATTAGGTTGATACTTAATTTTACAAGTGTTTATTGTTGTTATTTTATAGTAATGTAAAAATAGTATAAAGAAAACAAAGTTATTAAACCTGATGGAGTCCATGACTCGAGTATGAGTTAGCCTATGAAGCCCGAGTTAATTCAATATACTATCCTTTTAATACTTTTTAAAAAAAATATCATGTTTTTATTAGTCATCCAGATTGTGTTTGGATCTTCTAGTCGACTTGGTCATATCAGAGCAACTCCTAAATGATTAATTTGAAATCTGAGTCAATTCAATTTATTATTGTCTTAATATTTTAAAAAAATATATCATCTTAAAAATATTTTAAAATCAAACTATGTTTTTATTGGTGTTTTAGTTTATTTTTAGACTTGTTAAGTCAACTAAGTCATTTCAGTATAACTTTCACACAATTTAATTTAAAACTTGGATTATATAAGAAGTTAGATTACGAGGTTTCAAATTTGACTTGATAAATTGGTAGATTAGGAGGTTTTAAATTTGACTTGATAAATTGAATTTAATTACAATGTCAAAAGTTTACTCTTTTTTTACATTTAAAAGTTTTTTGTTCAACTTGATTTATGAGAGTCAATTATCTAGTTACAATCAAATATCAAATATCAAAATGTAGAAAGGCAAGAAGAAAGGAGCCGCTCAACCTGTATAAAGAAACAAAAAAAGGAAAGAATGGAATCAAAAAGATTAAAAGGAAATTAGGAAGGAAAAAATGAGAAAAAGGTTAAGTTTTATTTTTATCCACAAAAATAGATAAGTTAAATGGAAAAAAATATTTAGTATTTCAAGAGTACCCTCCACTTCATACTCTATTCATTTAAATAAAACAATATACACTACGTGGATATATATATATTCATTAACTTAAATCTCTTGAATCATAGCAATTTTTAATGATAATTGTCAATTCATACATCTGGTTTCGTTTAAGTGAATAATGGAGTGGTGAGTACTTTTAAAGTACTAGAGTATTTTCTATGGTGCTTCATGCTTGGGCATGGGGTTTTCAAATATTTTTTCAGTTAATATGTGAAAAATCAAATTATAAAAATAATTAAGTTTTTGTATTATAAAGATTTGCATTATAAATTAATTATTATTATATATAAATATAGCCAGTTTACTAATGGTATATGATATATTATTAAAAGAGGTTGAGATGGTGAATAACGTGAATAAAATTAAATTTTCAAGTTCTCAAGTTATATGCCTAAGCTAGAGAAAATTAAAGAAAAATCTTTAGAATTTTATAAAATCCAAATAATAGTTTAAATATGATTCTTAATAAAATAAATTAAACAATCTTATTTATACTAGCTCTAAACTTAGAATACTTTATATGAAAAGATTCATAGTTAAAATTAAAATTTTTTATAGAAAATAATTTCTAATTAAAACTTATTGAACTAATAGAATTCATTTAGCATTGGAATCCCTAAACAATAAAATACTTATTAAATTGAAAGTCTTGTGATAAAGAATAAAAATATAACAAGGTAAATAAAAAATTCATACATAGTAATTTATAAGTTATATTTTAAGACCTTTCCAATCACCAATTATCATGAAAAATTAACTTGAGAGGAAATAAGACCTTTAAATTTTCTATCTAAATTTTAGCTCAATCTAATGGTACAATGTATAATGATATTTATAAATGTGTATAATAATTCTTGTTGTAAATTTTGATGGGAAATCCTTTGGGAAAAAAGGGAGGGAGTTCGACCAAAATGACAACCAATGAGAGAGTGCATTATTGTATTAAATTTCTTAATTTTTAATTTTTAATGATAGTTGACTAGGGAGAAGTTGATTCTTGAATGTAATGTGGAAGAAAGAACTGAGTTTTTGGATTTTTGAATTTGATGATCTTGAATGACTTTTAAAAAAATCATTATATATAACTTGATTAATCAACATGTTATAGAGCTTAATTATTTGTAAATAGTAAAGGGAATTGAAGAAAAATCTTAGAAAAACTAAGGGATTAATTTTAGCTAAGATGATTATGATAATTTGATGTGTTATTTTGTATGTGATTGGATAATATTATTTGTTGGGTTTGAAGTTGTATGTTTTGAAAGAATTATATAGGGTATATGTGAGATTGAGGGTTGAGATGGTTACCCATTTTAGGTGAACCATGGCTGCAAATGTAGTTATAATATGTGTATTAATGGTTGATTTAACACCCTAATAAAGAAAAGAGATGATCCTAAATTTAAGAGAAAAGAGAGCCAATTTGGGGGGGTTTGGGTGCCGAACTTAGGGCTGCTATAGAAGCCCTAATAGTGATTAATTAAGAGCTACTTTTGGCACCCTAAGAAGGTGAAAATAAGGGCTGAAGGAGCAGCCTTAATTTGAAAAAGTTCAAAAACTCTTTGATAGCTAAAAATACCTAAAATAGAGGTATTGTGATAGTCGTATTGCGGGATGTAAAGGGGCTGATTTGGGAATCTCCAAAGCTTAATTAACATGGAAAAGTTGGATGATTAAAATGTGGGAAGGAAAACATAATGCATGTGTGCATGTAACTTGCTTGCATGGAGATATTGTTATGATTAGAAAAGTTGGAGCATTAGAAACCTTAAGCATAAAAGGTAAAAATATAAGGGATAAAATTCAAGTGCAATAAGTATTTAAATTGTTGAAAATATTAAGAAGAAAATTTTAATATTTAAGGAGTGCATTCGAGGTATGATTTTATGTGATGCATGTGAGGCACTAGTTATAGGATCCTAAGTAAACATGACTAAATTAGTAAGGGAATCAATTAGGTGTTTTTGACCTCATCCTTTTTAATTTTTCAATATTATATATAAGTCTTAATTCTTTTAAAAGTATATTAATAATGAGTTACATGTTGTGTGGTAATGCATTAGTAAAATACTGATGAAATTAAATTGTGATATGTATTATGAGAATTGTGTTACAGTATGGTAGCCGGGGCTGAGATTAATATATGATAATAGTCAAATTAAAAAAAAAATTGTATGGAAGCTAACCCTAAAAAAGAGTTTAGCTTGTAAATAGGTATTCAAAATACAAATATACATGAGTTATATTCATGGAAGCCTGCTAGAGTGAGGCTAGGGTTGAGGTTCCTAGAAAGACATGTTGGATGCATATTTTACGTCGAGGAGTCAACCACAAGAGTGAGATTCTAAATGGTTATTTCGGGTCGGCCTTAAAAAATAAGGGCTTGATTTCAATCTTTTTGTATTGGTTATAAGTGTAGAGAGTAGTTGTTGAATAATAATTAATTGCAAAAATAGAGACTAGAAATATGTTAGTTATATATTTTGATTATGTTATCGGACCTCTAAAGGGTGATTAGAAAGATACTCAGAGTGGAAACCTTTATGCTCGGGGCTACTTATTGTTATTAGTGTAAGAAACACTATTATAAGCCTATACCTTATAAAAAGGGGAGGCTAAAAGATTAGAGACTATGCTTTATATTAAATCCTAGAGTTATGTGAATAACTAACTATTAAAGGCCTATACCTTATAAAAAGGATAGGCCAAAAGATTAGAGGCTATTTGTGTTATATTGAATCCTAGAGTTACGTGGATAACTAATCATTTAAACACAATAATGAATATGCTAAGGTGTTATGTTACTACCAATAGTTGGTAGAGATCATGTGTATAGTAGATAAGGGTTAAATTATGTTGAGAAGCTAAAAGGTTTATAAGTTACATGTGTATATATAAGAAAATATCATTGTTGTATGTTAAGATGGTTAATATTATGTTACAAAATATAACTATCATCCTTATTGCTTAATATGTTTTATTTTTAATAGGTTCATCATGTGCACCATGAAACAATATGACATGATGATTAGTTGTAGGATTTCCTAAATGTTTTTATCTAGCTATAAGATTTCCATTCTCATGTTTATTTTGATAATCTTTAAGGATTTTACAAAATAAATCATAGAATTATTGTGGTTTAATATTATTCTTTTTATTAGGAAGTTGTGATGATGACAACATCAACTTTATACACTTAATACAATAATTTATATTTGCTTTTCTATTTTAAATACGTGATGTTGATCTTTTAAGTTTATTGATCTTACATTGTATTATTTTATTTGAATTTGATTATCTTCTAATTTCATGGCCAATTATGGCTAGGGTTAAGGTTGTATATGTATTGACTAGAATTAAAAAAAATAATTTCATGTTATTTTAATGGTATTCCATTGATTTTAATTTATCACCATATATTGTCTATGCAGGGGTGTTATATAGAAAGTTGCAACAAGTTATATTGAAAGTTATATAGAAATTAAAACCACCATTCTCTACCACCATCAGAAAGTTGTAACAAGTTTTATCTTTAGATAATAAAGAACTTTTTTAAAATAAAAGTAAGCTTCCAACTCTATTAATCAATTAATAAATTTGTACTTAGAGAGTAGAATAAAATATCATTAGATTTATAAATAAATATGGGGTTTGGCCTGCGTGGAGGTAAGTCTACATGCAAGTTTTTTTTTTTTTCCTTTTATAATCCTTATTTGCATTACCCATTAGTCAAGCTAGATCTGCTATATTTTACTTCCAACAATCAAACATTTTTTTTTTTAATAATCTAGTTTCTATCCTAAGCCTACACAACTCTTTGTAAGGCCTCCACTCTTATATTGTAAAATTGGATTGCTACCATTTACATCCATTAAAGAGTCCAACCAACTATAATACTAACTAACATAGTTACACAACTCTTTGTAAGGCCTCCACTCTAATATTGTAAAATTGGATTGCTATCATTTACATCCATTAAAGAGTCCAACCAATTATAATGCTAACTAACATAATGAATAACATGAATAGAAACTACGGTTCTCAAACCTACTGTTATAGATCTAAACTCTAGAGAAATTTAAAAAAAAAACTCTCAGTATTTTATAAAACATGAATAATAATCTAAATTTGAATCTTCATAAAATAAATTAGATATTCTTATCTATACTAATTCTAAACCTAGAATCCTATACGGGAAATGATTCCTAATTAAAATTTATATAGTTAATAGAATCCATCAAACATTATAATTTTTAAATCATAAAATACTAATTAAATTGAAATTCCTAATATAAATAGAAAAAATAATCTAAATATAATAAGGTAAATAAAAAATAATCTTGAATAGTAATTTCTAAGTCTTATTTTAAGATCTTCCTGATCTTCAACCATCATAAAATTTAAACTCGAGTTTAATTTTTTTTATTAAAATTATAGTTTGATCTAATTGTAAGATTAAAAGTTATGTGAGAGATTTCCCCACTGCATTCATGTATTATGAAAATGAGTAATACAAAATAATTATCAAATTCTTAGTTATCAATCGTTACTTTCATGGTTGTAAAAGAAACTTACTAGTAATGAAAGCCATTGATACAATAGCATGTTTGGTTAAATATAATATGAAACTAAATGTTTCATCATTTAAAGAATTTTACCTAAATCCATTAGTGTTTAATATGCAAACATAAATCATGTTCAATACAATTATGTTTAATGCATTTAGATGATTGTGAATCATACATAACATGAGATAAATTAATAAAATAATTTTTAAAAGCCTTCTTAATTATTATTTTTTTAAATAGAAGATCAAAACAAAAGGCCAACTCCATCCGGGGATTAAAATGAATGAGCTAGGGCCTAAAATAAACATTATAAAAACCATATTGTGATATAAAATTCAACGTGAGATTATGGAAAGCTGCTGTACTCTCTCTAACCACAAGATTTCATCTATCAGCTACCTGTGACACTACACTTCCAGACACGGAAGAAACCGCTCGGTTGGATGAGTCGGTTTTAACTTCTAACACAAAATTTACGTTGTGAATATACAAAAAAAAAAAAAAAAAGGTTCAGAAATCTTGAAAGCCTTCGAACCTACGTTATAAGACAACAACCTATATAAGAGGGTTATTGCCGATTCATTTTTAAAGTATAAATTCAACTATTACGAGGTAATTCCTTGTCATGCAAAATGAGTCCCACCGCATACGACAAGTCCATTACTACTGTAAACACCATGAGTTTTATCTCTGTTAGGACCCGTTCACCTCAGCCGAGATTGCGGCCTTCATTGCATTTTCCACCACAGTTGATGATTGGTCTTGCTGAGGAGGTTCTGGCTGCATTTCTGATTTCTTCTTCTCTTTGAGAATCACCTGCCTCGGCATTACCTCTAGTAGAAAGCTTCCTCCATTCCATGCAGCTGCTGAAATCTTGAGTATTTGGAAAACCATATGCAATTCATAGGACAAGAAGATGGGGACTGTGAGTGCCATGGTTGCCACAGTAAATATAGCTTGCAACAGAGTGTACATTAGTAGGCGGTTCTGGTCCCCAAGCAAACCACTCAATCGCCACCATATATTGTTTGCTTTCTGGGCTTTTTTTGATAGTTCCCTGTCAGCCAAAAACATCAATCAGAAGAAAGTTCATAAAGTAAACAAATTACGATTGTATGCACAATAAAAGCCGACGCATATAGTAAAACCAAATGTGTGCAAATATCCATGTTGAAATAGAACTCCGAACCTGTAAGAAGTCATGACTTCAGGATCTCTTAAGAGCCTCTGTCGACGTAGGACATCGACAATAAGAAAATAAAGAGCTTGCCACAGGGTATAAGCAAACAAGGGCCCCCAGAACAACCATGTCATCAGGTAGGATTTGTCTTCCACTCCATACGGCCATGAGACTCTGCGGGAAGTTTCTTCTTGATGCATGGCTTCAAAGGTTGCAGGATTCCACCACCGAATAGTGAAGAAAACCAACCCTGATTGGAAAAATACTTGTCAATTCTGGAAAGAAAGTGATGATTGATCAAAAATATTAAACTTGGTAATTCATTTAAAAGGGCTCCATTAGCCAGTCCATGCTGGTTTCCAAGAAAAATAACAGCTGTTCAGAGCTTGAAGTTTCTCTTGTTCATTAGATTTATCAATAGTTGAGGGAAGTGATTTCAAAACTTCATATAGGTTAAATTTTTTTGACAAGTCCTTTCCCATGTCGAGACAAAATAGAGCACATTGATCCAGTCACTAATTAATAAGTTGTTTTTTGATCTATAAACTTGAGATGACAAAGCATAATGAAACTGGCATGAGTTATTTGGACTCTGTAAGAGTCACATTGGTCACTCCACCATCTCCCAGTTTGGTATTTTCATCTTTTCCCGTCCAGAACGCGGCAGAAGTTCAAAAGAGATATTATAGAAAAATTTTAATATTAAAAGAACACTAAGAAACCACAAAACATAGGTGAAAATAGATTTGCAATGACATTTTCAAATGAAGCAATACCATATTTATGAATTTAACTTTCCAATCTTGATTAACACGTCAATATGCATGGTTTCACTTCCTTAAGATGTGTTCTCAACAAGTTGACCTAGAGAGGAGAAGGACAATCTCACCAGGTAGAAGATGTATTAGGGCACTAACAAGTTTGTCAACAGAACTAAAAACCAAGCTGCAACGCCAAACAATCAATGCCCATGCCAATGGTCCCTACAGCAGCATTTAAATGAGTGAGAAGGACAAAGTGAAACCTCCAACAATTAAAAGGTTGAGTTACCACCAGCATATTCTCTTACTTCAGCAAATGAGAAGCAAACCATGAAAAGCTTTTCATTCTTTGGATATAAAAGGATGTCAACCAAGAATATAGTATTGGCATAATAGCAAAAATCCTGAAACCCAAAAAAAATGATGTCAATTGATCACTTGCCAGTTCTTGTCAACCTAGTAGGGAAATCAACTTAAAAGGCAAAGGATTTGTGATTAGATATCTCAATTTTTTTAAACCTCTGCAAATCACACTACTTCAACAAGCGTACACAACTTGACAGAGCGGCTAACTAATAAAAACTTCTTGAACCTGTGAGAAGTAACAAAAAATAGACAAGAGAGCAGCATACCAGAAGATAATAATGCGATTTCTTGAACCGATAGTATATCCACCGAAGAGGAACAAATGTGAAATAGAAGAAACAATACACATAAGGGATATCTTGTGGCCCTGAACATTTAACAAACAAATCAACAAAGAAATTCTTCAAAACAACTGACAGTAACAAATTCCATAATCAGACAGTATATTATTACTCACTCGCTCCCAGAAGGAAGCAAAATCCCCCGAAGCCAAGAACACCAAGAAGATGAGTCACCTGCAACGACCAAAAAAAAAAAAACAAGAAGCAAATCAAGTTGATATCTTTTCCTGTAAACATGCTCGTATAATAATAATAATAATAAAAATACGATACATCATAACGAAATACAAAAGGGAGACACAATTTCTTTTCTATAGCAAAACCAACCAATGTTTATATGAATTGAAAAAACAAGACTTTCAAGTTTCAATGAAAATCCAACCATGGAACGAATAAAATAAAGCTTACAAAAGGGCGAACCTTGTTAATAAAACTTTCATGTTCCCCGGCTTGTTTGGCAATCTTAACGGCCTGTTTAGACAGGATCTCTTTCGTTTGAGCCACTTTCTACACCAAAAACAAAGTATGCCGACAACGTCAAAACAATCACAATCACTAAAACCAAAAAGAAAAACAGAGATTTGAATGTTACCTTAGATCGGTCCTTGAGCCTCTGTTTGACATTTTCAAAAGAATCCCCATTTGTTGTGCTTATTTCCTCCACATGCTCTTCGTTGTTCGACATTTTTCTGTTACTATTTGGTTTCTTTCTTTAGTAGTGAAAGTAAGGAAGGAGAGACAGAGAAAGGCAAAGAGGAAAGGAGGTGCTTAGTTATATGGAGACACGGCTTGTTTAGTACGGTTTGTTGATTCGCAAGATATTTTTAAAGTGTTTTAAATAAAAGTATATTTTTAATTTTTAATATTAATTTATTAAATTTATTTACATTAAGACTATTAAAACAATATCTCAAAAAATATTAATATATTAATAAGAAAAGCATCTTTCTTTTTAAACACTGCATTTTACTCTAATTAGTAATTATTAATGCTAATTTATATTCAAGATTAGGGATCATCTTTCTACTAATCGCCAATTATTATATCTTGGGTATATTAAGGATCGTACTTCCGCTGGAATGTCCCGCTGCCTTGCCTGCCCCTCGTACTCTATAGAAATAGGACATCACTAGTTTCGCTGCCTCTGTTTGCTAGAAGGCTACACTATTTTTATTTTATTTTTTTTGCGCAAAAATATTTACCTAGTTGCTGTAATAGTGATTTTTTTAATATATATATATATATATATATATATATATATATATATATGGCTAAGATTATATAGTCAACTAAGTTGAATAAGCTGAATTTATTTTAATTAGATAAAAATTAAATAGAAAATGGCAATAAATAAATCAAATTTAAAAAAGAAAAGTGATTAGAACAATCTGGAAAAACAAATTATAAAAATAAAAAACAAATGATATATCTCAATTCATATTTTATTGAATATGAAAAAATGAAATAGAATAAAAAAAAGGATATAAAAAAAACGATTATGGTTAACTCCGAGTTAACATGATAAAATTTTAATGCTGGTAATTAAGGTCAAGCCAACCTGAAATATTCTATAAAACCTCTTCAGATCATGAGATTAAAATAACTTGATTTAAAAAATAAAAAGAGATTATAAAGCTCTTTTTTTCTTAAAAAAAAACTTGTGTTAATTTTTAAAACCAATGACCTATGTTATTAGACTTGTAGCATCTTATTTGAAAAAATTATAAAGTTTAATTTCTAATTAATTAAATATTGAAAGTTGAAATTGAAAAAATAATTTCAGTTTTACAAAAAAAATAACAATTAAAAGAATAAGAAACAAAATTAAAATAAAAAATAAATTTTAAATTTGATTGAAGGGTAAAATTGAAAAGAAAAGTCAATTTAGCAAAAGAATCAAAAAAACTTAAAAGAATGAGGATCAAAATTGACATAAAAAAATAAAGAAAAGTGTTTGATTGAAGGGTAAAATTGAAAAGAATAATAACTCTTACAAAAGGGCTAAGAAAAAAATTAAAAATTAAAATAATAAGGGTGAAATTGGAATACATAATACCATGAATTTGTATTGAAGGATGAAATTAAAAACCAATAAAACTTTTACAAAATGGCAAAGAAAAAAATTAAAAATAAAAACAACAAGGATCAAATTGAAAATTATAATATTTGGTATCTTGAAATGGAATGATGAAATTAAAAATAAATAAAATTTTTACAAAATATAAAAGAACAAAAATAAAAAAAATATCAACAACAAAAAAAGTTAAGCTATAATTTTTGAGAGAGAGGAGAGAAAAAAAGAAAAAAAAAAGACTCATCAGTGACAAATCACAACAAACACTAACACTCTTTACTTCACATGGAAGAAAACATGAAATAAGGATATTTTTGGATATCGGGAAGCACCGTACACATTGTCTGAAGTGTATGAGTGCCTCCCAATACCATACACGTACATGTTCTTTTTTATTATATTTAGTCAAAAACTAAATTATCTATGAGTTGACATGATAATAACGAAAAACCCATTGTAAAAAGACAAAAAAAGTCACCTAACTCTAGTTTAAATTATTTTGCTTTTAAAGGTATTTTGGTTGTTTTGCTGTACTTTTTAATTGTTTATTTTTTTAATATTTGATTAAATATCAAATTACCCCTCAACTAACATTATAATAACAAAAACATCATTGTTATTTGATTAAATATCAAATTACCCCTCAGCTAACATTATAATAACAAAAACATCATTATGAAAATACAAAAATATCTTTTAAGGCCATTTATTTTTTCTTTTAATAATAATCTAGTCATTTTCATGTACAATTGAGATGAGAAAAGATTTATTTTTTTTTCTAATTAATTCAATAATAACTAATAAATTACGTGAAAAGATTTTAGAAAAGATTTTAATATCTTTAAAAACTAGTGTTAAAGTTCTCGAATGAATGTGCAAAATTATCATTATATTGTTTCAATGAAAAGTATACATAAATATAGGGATAGATTGTTTTTTCAACTTCAATTAAATTTTTTTAATTTTTATTATTAATTAGCTACGAGGTAAAATTTATGTCTTTTTTTAATAATATTTTTATGAGATATTTATTTTGTTTTTATATTGCATGTTTAATGAGGTTGATTAATATATTTGTAACTCTTGAAAGCTTAGCTCGTGAAGTGAGTTATGCTCGTGAACAAATTATAAGGCTCAAGTAAGTAAGATATATTTTTATTTCAATTCTTAACGCAATGCTTTAATAAAACAAATTTCTTCATTTTTTCTTACCTAGGGAAAAAGGAAAGATACCTTAGTTAAATAGTTAGACATATATATATATATATGTATATATATATAATAGCAGAAATTAATATGTTGATTTATGTAATTGATGGGGAATTAAAGTAAATTAAATTTTTAAGAGTTTTGAGAAAAGAAAAGAAAAACACTGCGGAATAGGTAATTGTTAGATAAGTTTACACGTGTAGTTTTCATGAGGCTTGACCGTACAAAAAAATACAATTATGCTATCAAAATGGCTGTTGAGTACAAATAGCTGTAATATTCCTGCTTTCATGAGGAATATTGTCACAGTGTTTTTGTTGACTAATATAATTTTTTTTTTTTTTTTAAATCGTTTTGATGAGATGCTTTTAATAAAATAATATTTTAATATATTTTTAAATAAAAAGTATTTTAAAAAACAATAGATAATAACATAATACCTAATATCTCTATTTCTGGTTTCCTTCCCCTTCACGTAAGCATTAGAAAGACACGAATCAACATTATTTCCTGTTGAAGAGATATTTTAAGGGCAGGGAGCAGTGACGTAGCCTTTTCTCATTGTTTGTGTTTTGGTGACCATGCATGATGAGGACGTGTCATATCTGGAATATTCGAGGCTGCTGATGACGTGCGGGCCTGTTTCACTCTCTTTATTAAAATTACCACGTCACCCCTATTTTCTTACGTGGAGTGACGTGATTGTTCACTTGACTCGAATTACAAAACTCGCACAGGAGAGGAGGTGGTCTCGCGTCTCGATGAGGGGATAAGGCCTTGACTGCAATGGCTAAGGTGAGAGAATGCGATTATAAACTGTTTGTTTTATATTTTAAAAATATTTTTAAAAATATTTAATTTTTTTTGTTTTAAATTAATATTTTTTTATTTTTTGATAATTTTGGTATGCTAATATAAAAATAATTTTTTTAAAAAACTATTACCTTAACTATTTGAGAAGTCCAAGATCTACATAAAACGAGAGCACTCTCATTAGCATGGTTAAGGGTGTGTCTCTATTTTTTTATGTTGTCCCAACCCTTCTTGGGGTACTTTTTTTGTCTGATTTGGTATCCACTCCTCTCCAACTCTTGTGATTCTACCCTATAAGAGCTTAAATGATCTTACTAGAGCACGAGAAGTCGTATCATCCACTGGACCCTTTTTCTTCTAGTCTTCGATATTTTGGTCTCTAATTTTTCTTTTGATGGAGGGTGGCTTGATTCGTGTCTACTGTTAAGTGTATATTATCCTGAAATAGATCATAAGAACATTATTATCATCAATTCTCAGGATCCAAACTAGGTGTTTTGATATCAACTACAATAACTCGGTTTTTTCAAAACAAAAAACGATGGTGATTTATATATATGTCATCACATTGATGATGATTCTCACAATGATATTGAAAGATTTACCATAACAGAATTCATCTTTCAATGTAATATAATACTCATGTGATTTTACAATACACAACATTATTATAAAAAAACAATATCACTTACATACATTCATAACATTATGTTTATACATTCATACATTCACATTTGTATTCCATTATAATAATCGATACAAGTCATTTCAGAAGTGTTGAATGACAACTAGTACATTCGCTCCTTTCAAATACATAATACCTAAACCATGTTATTACATAGTTCCTTTCAAAATATATGGACTTGTGGAAAGGGTTTTTATGCACCTTGATTATGTGATGTCCCTATTACAAAAGCAAAGTAAATACAAGAATTATAATTAATCTAAAACATGTCAACAAATAACTAAAAACATTACATAGTCTAAATAAGTATAATCATTTTGTTACCCCTTACATATATAATAGAGCCTTAATCAACTATAATATCCTCACTCTCACATCATAACCTTACCGTAGGTGTGGTAGGACCAGAGTTAATTCATTTGCTATGGTTACTTTACTACGTTTTATTCCCATCATCCTTTGCGAGACCATTAATATGTTTATCCATCTTATTTCAACCCTATCATCCATTTGAATGTTGTTACCCATGACTAATCCCAATATGACCATCAAGTCATTCATCTTAGATGCCATCAGCCATAGCTAATCATAATATACACACCTAGTCATCCATCTCGGATACCATTAGTTGTAAGTAATCACAATATACCCACTCAGTCATCCACTTCGGATGCCATTAGCCATAGTTAATCATAATTTTCAACCCAGTCATCCATTTTGGATGCCATTAACCATAGCTAATAAAATTTCCAACTCGATCATCCATCTCGGATATCATTAATCGAAACTAATCATAACATACACACTCGATCGTCCATCTAGGATACCTTTAGTCAAAGGTAATCATCAACATAACCCGGTCATCGTTCTAGGATGTCATTAGCCGAAACTAACCACAATACTCATTCGAACAATCCATAACAATTTAGCATTCCCTGTATCTAAATAATATGTCCTTTATAATACTCGTATAAACATTCCATGATAGTT